CTAAGGCTGCCAGCCCTCCCCTGCTTATAGTACTCCAGGCTACTAGGAAGCAGCAATTGGCAGAGGCACCCAGTTGGGGTGCCAAGCGGTCCATCACACTCTGCTTCTGCAGTGTTTCATAGCGCAAGTTGCACATACAGACTTCAGGCACCATAACTATTTAAATGGTGCCTGGAGTAACCCTTTAAACCCAGAAAAGATAGTTAAGGCTTTGAAATTTCTCTTCGAGGGGTTTCTCATAAGATGCAGGGTGCCATCATTTGGAAAAGTTGAGTCGAAGTTGCTTTGGCCACAGACAGTTCAGAATGAATGTCTTGTAATTGTCACTGTTAATTCAAGCCTTTTTGCACAGTTTTACTTTTTTATTTAAACATAATATTTAAATACAACTAACATTCCAATCCATGAAAGTGAGAAGAGATTTACTAACTTCCCAACACAACTTTAACCACCAAATACTACCAACAAGTTCATCACTAAACCGTGTCTGCAACCACCACCAAGACATTATACTAATTCATGATTTGAATGCAAAGGTAATAGATTGGAAAGGCTTGAGCGTACGGTATGTACAAAGGTAACAGCATTCCCATATGACTCCTGTATCTTCCTTTCCATGATCCTAGGTAACATTGGTGACTTATTCATAGAGGCATTTAGTGCTAGACCCCAGCAGAGATTTTCAATTTCCATGTGTTGCTGAAATACAAGTCCCATGATTCTCTGACTATTTCATTCAAAGAATCATGGGAGTTGTAGTTCATCAACATCTGGAGGGCCAGAGTTTGGAGAAGCCTGGCGTAAAGAATGTGTTAGGTCTACATTCATATTGTTGGGAGGTATGCAAACTGGTCATTTTTCTTAACTGAAAATCTTTGCTGGGGTCTAGCACTAAATGCCTCTATGAATAAGTCACCAATGTTACCTAGGATCACCAGGTATACCTTAGCAAACTGCTTAACAGGCAATATTTAATTACTCAGTCAAAAACACCTACCTGCACATGGCTGAGTTTGCCTTTTCCTAAGTTTTAAAATTCCCCATGCCCCTCTGGGATAATAGACTGCACAATTGAAGGTGACCAGTCCGTCTCTTCCTGCCTTCTCTTCTGGAGAAATGCACAAGAGTCTATTTCAAAACACAACAGCCAGTAGTAAAAGGATTCTAAAATGCTCTCAAATAATGTTAAACTGCTGTCAATTGCTCTTTCGCATGATCAGTAGTAATCTATCCAACCTTAGATAGCAATGATAAACTGTAAAGGTTCTCAATTTATTTTTGTTGCCCAGGCAGGAAGGAATTGCATAGAGCTCGACGAAATGTTTGTGACATCAAAGAATAAGGAGCTGCATCAGTTGGTATTCACAAGAAAATGACCCATGAAACACCGAAGTACCCTGCACAAGGTGACAGATGTGTCTAGCTGGGGTCTTCTGTGTTCCCAAACTGACTCAACAGAGTACCGACGCTCTGCTACATATGAGCAGCACCGGTGTGACAATGTACAATTAGAATTATAATAAATGTGCCTTTTTAATGATATTTTGACAACCTGTAAGCTAGAACAGTTATAATTAGGGGCTGTCAAAGTTTACGACTGTGGCTTGCCTTGGGAAATTAAGATCACCGTCAATAAACACAACATACACAGTTTTATGACCCCTTCAGTTTACAAATCAACTCACTTTAACTCTTGATTAAAAACCAGTGTAATTTAAACCTTGCAAATCTGAAGCATAACCAAGAGCATAATCATTTACACTAACCCTATTTTTTCTTCCTAATGCCTAACCCTAATGTCTCTAATTCTAATCTCTAACTACAATCCTTAACCCTAGCCGCAAACTATGAATGAACCAACTCACCTTTTGTCTCTCATTCATCTCTGCTGAAATGAATAATTTATTGGGACAAAACAACATTGTGCCTGTTCCTTTTGAGACTGTTCCAGTCTCATGTACTTTCTCTGTTCTGTGACCTGTGTTTCCTGCTCTATACTTTGCTTGACTTCTCACTGTTGAAAGTGAAACGACATTGGCCTTTCCGTGCCTATTGCCCTCTAGCATCTTGCCCCCAAATCAGGTCCTATTAGGCTTTCTCCACATTCCTGGACTTTGATCCTCATTCGGCCTGCTCCAGTCTCACAGTAATGGATCAGTGTGACCTTGTATTTATTGTGCGACACAGATAACAGGCCCAATTTCACAGGAACTCACTATCTGGATGGACGTGATTCCTTCTCAGTTGAATACACGACATATGTTATGAATTTATTTTTTTTTGCACATGCAAAGCAAACGTCAAACAGACCTGGCACAGCTAAACATCCAATAGACACATAAGCAAATATTCCAGTACTGTATTTACAAGACCAGTGGATTT